CCAGTAACCGTGGAAGCGGCGCGCAACGGCGGAATTCATATCTCCTACAGTACTAACTCAAATCACTTGAACAGGCAAAACATGCTAATGTCTTTCGAAACTGCCTGTAATGAAGATAGGTGCTGATGGCAAAGCGGTTGAGAGGAAGACTGAGAATTGTGTCGATGCACAATGTGAGCAGTTTTTCAAGACATAAAGTCGGCGCAACTTCAAAGCGTTAATCACTCAGTGCCTAGAAATTACTCATTGCAAGTGTGACACTTCTAACCTTTAATTGAGAGTTTTCTCATGCCCTACATATTTATAGGTAATCAAAGCAAGAAAGATTGACTTCAAATGTAGGTCCAGTACTCGCTTCAAAAAGGATCTGAGGCTTTTTGCACAGGTATGCTCATCAACATGACAGCCTTCGATGCGATAAAATTCTTTGTATACAATCCTGCAAAACGCTTGCTTAAAAAGTGTCGCTGTTTTTGACTTGAGCTACTAAATCCTTGCTTCTATTGTTTAATGCTAAGTTGGCAAAGCTACTTTGATGATTATTACTGGCAAGATGAAGTGAAATAAATAATCTTGTTGGTAAAAAATCAGATAAGTGACATCAATACTATCTTTAGAACTCATAGTCTAACATGATGAAGATCCTGAGCACACATCATTTGCATTTTAATCGTCAATTTACAGACTCTTTGCACGACTATCCTTTTTTCCTTCACCGTTGTTTGTTTTCACTACATGTCCACGGATATTGTGAGCAGATTCTCACGATTTTGTACCACAACTCTCATTTGGGGTATTAATCATGCAGGCGCAGGGTTTGTATTTCGATTTGTGTTCGCTTATCACATATCTCTTATTCAGAATCATTATTGCCGTTTTTAATAGAGAGATAAGGCAAAATATTTTTCACCCATTACGAACAACACATACGTTTTCTGATGGGTTGACGACAACACCAGCATACGCTGGTGTAGTTAGTAGTATTACACGAATGTGAAGCTACAAGCTACGTTGTGTGTAGGGTTCAAGTGCTTTACAATTATTATGATTTAGTATCTTATTCATCTTATCTACACTTTGTATGCACGCCGAATTTGTACACTTCTTTAATTATTTCCTTACCAATAAATTTATCCATAGATTAAAGCATGACTGCGTAGAGTTTGCGTGGAAACAGTGTTAGCTTCTCGATGTACAATTGTGAAATAAAGGAGAACCTTCGCGATGAGTCAGCACAGGTGCCAGTGAAATAACATAGAAAACAGAACGATGATAAAAAGGTGCAAGGGGCCAAGCTGAAACTGGACCTACATAAGTTTGATACTATGAGCGAGTCAGGGGTGACGGACATTATGTCGCTAAAACGGTAGGCTCCGCGCGTACATCTGCAACAGACGCACACCTTCAGACATAACATGTAGCTGCAGCTTGCGCCACGTGTCCGCAAAGGGTGAAGGTTATTGGCGACATATTTTCTCAACCGCAAGTTGGCAGTATCACATAATAAAACACCCCCAATCAATTTCGCTCTTTTTCAAGTCGATTTTTACTATAAAAATCATAGTTGACAAATGTACAATCAGCGAGATTTTTGGGAAGTTCAACATATTTTATCCTGAATTTTACGCTACATACCAAGGCCCTAAGACATATATGGACTGAAGAAGGGAAAAGGATTCAGTTTTTCAATTGTCCGTTGATTTGTGTAGAGTCAAGTTAATAATTTGTGAGCCAACATGGAAAAGTTATTAAAAAGAGAGAACATCTTGCAACTCCGCAAAGCTGAATTTCTTGCAATCTTATAAGTAAAGCTGAATCTCTGGTTGTATGTCTGTCTGTATGTATGTATGTACCATTTGATTCAACTGGCTTGGCTTCTGGAAGGCGGGGCTTCGTGATCTAATTAAGGCTAGGTGATGATCAGGGAACACTCGCGCCAGAGAGACGCAGGTGCATCGCGGGCCGAGCGGCCTTGAAGGCTCCCGCCAGAGTGCCGAAGCCATGCCAGCGCTACGCCAGCGCCGCGCTAGCGCCTAGTCAGCGCCGTGCCGACACAGCGCTGCCACGGGTCCCGCCGCGATTCACGATCAATTGCAGGGTGCGTCCACCTCGTCAGGGACGCCATCACTTCATCTTTTTCGCTCCTTTTTCTCCTTCTCGCGCTCTCCTTCATCCTTTTTCCTTCTTTATTGTTTTTTAATGTTCCTTTTTTTCAGGAAATGCTCTCTTGCCAGTTTTTCTCGAACTCGAGTGGAGGAAAACGCTTTTGCGCGGCGCGTCCGGCTGTACAGAAGGGGACTTTTCTCCAAGCAAGGAAGGGTACGAGATTATGGATCGATTTCGCGCATTTCCAGCTATTCTATTTTCAGCCTGCTCGTCTACAAAATTCCTGCCGGCCACGTGGTGGCATCATAACAATCTCAATCAGTTTTTCCGGAATCAAATCGCAGGAATGAGTGTATGCTGATCAAAAGATAACCATCAAAAGAAATGCTACAGAGCAACCACAGCGAATATGCAACTGGAACAAAATCAGCCAACTGAAGTGATTAGGAGCTTTCTAACCGTGCAAAACGTCACCACGATCATTCGCACTCTAGAAGTCTAGTATACTTTCGGTTTTATAATCAGTTTCCAACATCTGACGTTGTTGACAGGAAAATCGGCGAAAGCACTCGCTTTCGAGTAAGCCAACCCGTTGGTACCAAGCCATGGCCGGCTGCCGGCCACGTAGTGGCATAAAACAATCTCAATCAGTGGCTTCGGAATCAAATCGCAGGAATAAGTGTATGCTGATCAAAAGATAACCATCAAAAGAAATGCTTCAGAGCAACCACAGTGAATATGAGAAAGATGCAAACGAATTAAAGAATGAAAGAGGAGATCCCACCTGTAAGCTGCAAAAAGTTCGCCCAACCGTTTCGATTTCACTTGCCTTTGAAGAAACACCGGCGAGGAAGCGCTTCCTGCAACAAAAAAAGTATTAAGAAACAACAGAGGGATCGAAAAAGGACAAAGAGCAGCGCAGAGAGAAGAGGAGACACAAAATTGAGAGAAAACGGACGAAAACGCAAGGTTCTGGCTTTCCTGGCAGGTGTGCTCACCCTGCAATTGATCGTGAATCGCGGCGGGACCCGTGGCAGCGCTGTGTCGGCACGGCGCTGACTAAGCGCTAGCGCGGCGCTGGCGTAGCGCTGGCATGGCTTCGGCACTCTGGCGGGAGCCTTAGGTCACAGAGCTGCGCCTTCTCGGAGCACTGTGACCTAATCAAGACCGCTCGCACCCGCGACTCACCTGCGTCTCTCCCGCGCGAGTGTTCCCGGAGCCAAGCCAGTTGAATCAAAGGTTATGTCTGTATGTACGTGTGTTCCGAATAGAAATTTTTATTTCTGAACCGATCCTGACAAACTTGGCACAAATACACTTTGGGGTAGGGCGGGTGTCGTAGGCTACTTTTCGTCATCGATCGATGTAGATTTTATCGATCTTCATCGATTTTTTGTAAAGTTTGATGTGGGTGCATGTGAGTCCAACATGAACAAGGACCTGCGGGGCTGGGAGCAAGTGGGTCCAACATGCACAAGGTCGAACCGGTCCGATAAACGGGTCCTTCAAAATTGACGCGTCAAACGGGTCCACGCGGCTTCAAAACTAGGTCGCTAGTTCGAATTTTTGCAAAGTCATGATTTGCCTGACAAGTATATCTGCCCCCATGAATTCTAGCTGATAATGTGCTCGAAAAGTTTGTTTTTCTGTGAAAACAGCGCCAAGTGGTGATTGCGTAGATAGTCGATTTGGCAAGATTTTACTTTGAAATTAGAAAAGATGCACGGAAATGCAGCTCAAAGTGACTATTATCCTTATGACGACTACCAAGCCAAAACAAGTTCAGTAATCCATTCAAATTCGCATTTGTTTGTTTGCGAAAATTTTTTTCTCCTCAAAATTACCGATCTTACGTGGAAATGCTTCAAAGGAACACTTGTTCACGATTCATTTGTGATGTTCAGCATTGCGTGGTGAGTTTCAAAGTTATCATTATGCGAAATGAGAAAGGCATACGAATAGAAGAGCCAGTGTGAACCTCCACGAAGCGGAGGTGACGCACTGGTATATAATAATCAGCACCAGTTAGCGGCTTCTTATGATAATTTCCTCTATTGTGCAAGACAGCCAGATTTCAGTAAAAGTGTCGCCAAGTACTCAGATAATCGCCGGGGGCAGGCGGTCCGCAAACTCGCGCTTTTCTGCAAGCGGTCAGCAGAATTTTGGGGCGTGGCCAAACCTTCAGCGAGCGATACTTCCTTTACTGTCTGATGTCCTGCCAGCGGGCAGCAACACAGAGGTTTCTGCAGGTGCTCGTCAAATCTTCCAGCGAGCGCTGGGTAAACTTTCAGCAGGCGCTCGGACGATTTTTAAGCAATTTCGGGCGTACGCCGAGCAAAGGTGAGACTCTACATGGCAGAGGTGTCATCTATGGTTTAACTACTCAAGTTTGAGGTACTTTCTCTCAGCGGAAAGTACCTGGGGGCTGCGCGGTCCTCCACAAAGGACCTGCGGCCCCCGAAAATTTTGCATATTCTCGCGGAAAGTCCGCGAGAATGCGGCCACTGCGCCGCAGCTAATCTACATATTATATAAGTATTGACATGGAAATGCTTTGCTATAACATGATGAGCTTTCATCTTCTTGGACCTACATTAACAAATCAATAAGTCGATAGAAGGACCCAGCAGATCGGCTTAAAAAAACCTCAGATTCTTTTCCGGGATCGAACACATATGTATGCAAAATATCAGCTCAATCGGCTAACGCGAAAAGGAGTCTATGAGTACATACGATACTGATTTGCACAAACTTTGACTTTTATATATATCTTCTACTATATTAGATAGTAATAAACAAGCTTTACAAGTCCGAAGTGCACTAGTCAAAAGAACTCTGTCGTACTATCCAACATATTTACATACAAACATGTACAGTCATCCGTGATTCAGCAGCTATTTCTTCCCGATCGGCCCCATTGGACCCATTGGACCCATAGTGCCCATCGGTCCCATCGTACCCATTGGACCCATAGGTAATCCATTTGCTATACATCGCCCGAGGTAGCAGTTCATTCCAGGTGGACAGGATACACCGTTGTGGCAAGCTAAACACAAGAATTTGCAATAATCTCCGACTAAATTGCAAACTATACATCACAAAAAGAATCAATGGTAAAATAAAGATTCAGATATAACGAGATAATAATTTGGCTGTGATTCTAGACATTACGCATAGGTCTCGATCTTCCATTTGCGTTTTTTCCTGTAATTTACCCAGATAGAATGAAACCGCACTTTTGCCTAAAGGGCAATTTTTGCTTTTCCTTGCAGCAAAGATCTACTTTTTTTGATATTGCTTTTCAATTGATATTATTAGGTTGATGCACAATTCTTGCACCAGAAAATCCAAAAAAAATATTTTAAAAATGCTTAAACAAACTAGACAACTAACATGTTATGCTCTATGCTATGTATATCAAAAGTAGTATTTCATACTACATTTTAAAAAATCAATTTGAAGCAAAATCGATAAGTCAATTCGTAAATCTTTGCAGAAACATCCATTCACTACCATTTTCTCTTAGTTAAAAAGAGCATGTTATAAAACTTAGACCAAATAAATTTGAATTCTAGCAGTTTTAGCAGTTTTGGCGACTAAAAATCGAAAAATCACTTTTTGGGTATTTATCTTATTCACCTTCTATCGTTGCCATATGCCCTCAAAGAATTTTGGCTCGAGCACCATCAAAAAGCTCAAAATTTGCTCTCTCTACTATGCTTCAAACCAAAAGATTTTATCGCAGATAGACGAAGTAACAGAATTTCAAAAAATTTTGGTGCAAGAATTATGCATCAACCTAATATATTGCTCACCAAATGTAGTAGACATTGCATTTTGCATGCAAACTCCACCAATACAGTATTGACCAACGGGACAAATCGCACCGGTCAAACAGGCTGAAATGATTGGTTATATCTTCTAACAATAAGTTTTAGCAAAGAAAGAACAAAAAGTCTACTTGTCTGCGATGGAACAGCTTGACTTCCGCTATATGCAACATTGCTTCGGCTACAAAATCCATTTACGCATATTTGTCCATTTAAACATTGCTGCATCAAATTACATGGCTGTGTGCCTGGAAAATTTTTTAATCAGTACACGTAATTTCCATCTATCTAGAAGCATTGAGTTTTTCTTTTGAATATTGCATGAAAATTCTGCTTGGCACCATCGTCATGAGATATTTTCTGAAAATAAGGCAAAAGTCACTGAGGTTATGTCGCACAGCCTAGGGTAGGATCATAACAACTTACGGTTGTGCAAAAAGGCTTACGCCTGCAGTCAACGGTTTGAAGATGATATTCTGGCGAAAGTTAAGTTTCTTATGCAGGTAAGTGCCCAGTTAAATTTTTTTGAGGTGCGAAACCTAATACAATTTCGAATGATGTGGTCAACGCATGCCCCGTAAATTTTTGGCATACCGTTTTAACGTGCTTATATCCTGAAGATTTGGAAAAAGGAGAGCGACGCCACGCAAAACTTTTTGATTGTTAGAAAATAAAATTATTTTCGATATACACAAATGACCGGTCATTTGCATAATTCCACAAATCATACAAGCAACTCCAACCTCACATGTAGGTCTACAGTAGGACAAGAAGTACAGCATGGTAAGCTTGAAAAATAATCCCAAAGGTCAGGTTCTAAGCTAAGGACATGCAAAATTTCTCGATATATGTTGATTTGCAAGGTGCGGTTATAGACTAGAGACGATGCATGTCTTTGACTTCGGTAAATAGATCGGTTTGATATCATAAATTGAAACACTTTTCACTATTCTACCTCTACTCCACGGACTTACCATGCAACTGTGTTAATTGCAATTGCCGTATCCGATCAAATACTCGAGCATCTATAAGAAAAAGCAAATAGCTTTTCCCTAGACTAAAGACATGATCAAACTAGCGCTATACCAAACTAAGATTTTTCCATCTAACTTCTAGATAGTTTTTCGTTGAACAAAGTTTTGCTTTTATACCTCAACAACGTAAAAGAGCCAGCATACATAAATCTCATTTTGGTTTTTCAACAAGTTGAAAAAAGCCACATACCTCCCATCATGCCAGCTGATAGGGGACCATAAGCTCCTACACCCATAGGTGGTACTCCTCCAGCTCCGTACATACCTGTTGAATGTTCTAAAAGTGGTTCAAAGATTTGTTGGCTGTAGCTGTAAAAATTTTTTATACTGATTTTGTTCTAATTTTTCTTTTGCTGCTGCTATGTAATTATCATTGAGTCTCCCGAAAATTAGTACATCGTACCCAAATTGATCGATAAACTTGTAGAAATGAATTGACTGGAAAATATTTTTGTGCTGACATGCAAATCATTATAAAAATTTAACTCTAACTATTTAGCTAGGTTTTTTGCGAGGAAGCAATTCCAACCTTATAGTGTAACAAATCAATTAATCCAAAAATTTTTTAGTAACAAAGGACATTCATGTCCCAACATGGCTTGTTTATTGAAATTTCACTTTTTTGACTTTCTAATCTTCGTATTCGTGCTATGGTGGATGCACAGAGAAGTAAGTTGGTAGAACTACTGAAAGAACAACAATAAAACTTGTGATTGGATTTTCTGTATTCAGATTTACGAAATTTTTTCCTGTTTGCGCGTTCATAGAAATGGAGGTACCCATACTTTGCGCGTTTTTAACAAAAGAATTTTTTACTCATTAGGGCTATACTAATGAATCTCATTCTACCCAGAGATACCAAATATTAAACAAAAGTTTATGCGCATTTACAAGCTCAAAACGACTGAAATTATTCTTAGCCACCCTGATAGATCCAAAAATAGTGCTCTGCCGCTAAAAAAGTTTCGCTAAACAAATTTTTCCGCTATATGAGTACATATCCTGCTCCGATCTCGACAGATCCCACTATCCTAACGGATCCATAAAGCCAGTCCCTTTCTATATTGCGCAATTCCACGCTCATTATTACTCGTAACTAGTCAGACTGGCCTTTCGATACTACTATGGATGGGAGTTGCGTAATACGTAGCGCTATTCATCCGTGCTATAAATGGCAATGAACACCATGGAGCAGATCAACGCAAGTTGTTGTTTAGGTTTTTGATTGACAGTTTGGATTAAGCAGTAAATTGCGGGAATCTGTGGTCTTCCTACAAGAAGTAGAATTGTAAATAATTGCCATTGAAATTTGGTCAACGAGAAGGAATAGGGTCGTCGAGGCTGACATTGAACAATTATCTCGACAATGCGCAACGAACATCCTGTTCGACGGTCTCTAAACTCAAACAAAATATATTTTTTGACTTCGATACCCACCTCTTCCTCCATAGAGTGAAGCAGCCGCAGTCAGAGCACTCAATCCACCAAGACCCCTAAAAATAATTACTCAAGACAGAACCCATAATTGAAATTTTTAGCTTCTACCTTGCTCCAGACAGCCCTCCTGTGCTTATACAATTACCATTCCAACAATATTGTCCAAAAGGACATGAAATATATCGGCACATATCTGATTCACCATAGCCTGCTAATGCATTGTACAATGAACTGCCGAGAAATTGTGCCGTGGTGAAGCTAAAACTGGAAGAAAAATTATGGTACCAAAACAATTTTTGTCTAGACTGACCTCGATACTGCTACAATCCGTAGTAATGACGTTGGCGTCAACATGTCGCCGATGTTACTGAAAAATCAATGACTTCTTAAATCTTGGAAACAAAATAATTTCCGAAACTAGCTCATCGCGATAGATATAGTGGATTTGAAGCAAAAAGCTAGAGGATATAGCCTGAAATTTCTCACAAATGAAAGAAGTACATATAGAGGAGCAATCAGAATGATTTTGTGACTTTGGAATCTCGAAATTAAATTAAATTAAATTAAACCTCATCTTCAAAAATTTCAATTTTTTCGATTTTTGCCATCCAAGATGACAACGGGGAGCTAACATGCTTTGCTTAACGCATTATTTTCTTCCTCGAAAAAATCGCAGGGAACAGGCGTGAAGAAATATATATTTAATTAGTTCACAAGTCTTGCATCAATGTGAAAAATATTTTCAAAAAATGTTCAAAAGTGTAATTTGTGTAGTAATGCATATTTTAGTAACATAAAACAAGTGTATTAGCTTCAACAATTCGAAAATCCTAAGTATCTTATTAGTTAGAACGCCCAATAAGATCGAATTTGCTTGCATAAAAAGTAGGTCGTAAAACCATAATCAAAAATAAGGTAAGGTTTTGATGGACCTCTTGACATGTTCTGCGACTTGAACTCGGAAAAATGCGATTTGAATGTTTCCCTTTACCAGTTTATGTCGTCATGTTAAGCAAACTTTGGCCAAAAAAAGCATGATTTTGTTGAGTGAAGCTTGATTTTAAAGATTGTTGGTGCAAGAGTGTTTGAATAACCCAGTAGATCAAACAAACACCTAACTTTTGAAAAACATAATTTCTAACTTATAGTAGATGGTAAGTTTTTTTCAAACTGACGCATGGAAGATGAAAAATATATCATTTTTGGTTTTTTCATTGTTCCAAATCATCATTCGAAATTGCCGTGACGGACATTGGAGAAAAAACACGGTGATGTATACCAGAAATTTTTCAGGAAGAAGCTCGAGAGAAAAGCTGTAAAAGATTGAGTTTACCGAAGGAGATATCTAAAGCGAATTGAAAAATAACCTAAACTATGCCTACACTAGCCTACTCTTGCGCGAACATAACAAAATCGAGCGATCGAGAATCGCGATGAGGCAGGGCGGGTATGTGAGGGATCGTTCTCCAATTGTCAAACTGGCATTGGGCAGTCCTGGCATGCTGTCAACTGGTTTTTAACGAGTAAAGGTCGAAAAATTGTTGAAAAATAATGCTCTCTTGTGTCAATCACTGCTCCCATCACTACGTCCTCAAACTTCCTCAGAGTGTTGACCTTGAAGCTATGAAGCATTTCGTAATTGTATGTGGAAAAACCAGACAGCAATATCACTTTAGTCGGGAATCTGACATTTGCACTAAGCGGATACCATTATTTTCTCCATTGTGTAGATAAAATGGCGCTAATCCCCTGCCACATTTGCCGTGAGTTTCTTCTATTCATGGAAGAAGAGATGCTAAAGTCCCGAGTGAGAAAGGGAGTTGTGATGCTGCCGCCCACAGAAGGATCCTTTCAAAGCTGATCCGGAGACTAACCAGTTGATAAAATGCTTTTGCTTGTTACTGCTTTATGTTTTGTGCATCATATTCAGAGCATGCAAATTGAGGGATGGAATGCTACCGCGCAAGGTAAGTTACAATCAGTTCAACAGTATTATGAAGTTTTGTGAGAAACTCCCTTTGGTTGCACTTGATTGCTTGACTTTTCCGTAATCGTGCCAAATTTACTTGCAATCATACAATATTAATAAGTGGAGATACCAATAACTAAGCATCAATGTACAAACAATTTGCAAATAAGAGACAAATGGAGCCCTTTTTGCTCCTTGTTAGATTTTTGAGATTGGAGTTATTTGTCTACGCGACATTTCAATCCGTTCGGACCTCCTTCTTTTTGCTCAAATAGCAGTGTTTTCAAAATGCAGCAAAAATCAACCAAAGAGTGAGTCCTTCAACAATCTTTGGCTCTATCCAACATAAGTCCTCAAGAGATTATTAACCGTTTAGGTGGTAATTATTGTAGCTGAAATTATCCCCCCTCCCCCCATTCTATCACTGCCTAGTCTCCTGCACGAGATTCGTGAGAATACGATGTACAACAATTTTTTTGAGGAAGACCCATGCAAAGTAATTGATTTGTGCAATTTTTTCCTCTAAGTATATTAAATGTAGTATCTTACAACAATTTAGAATTCAAAATTAAATCATACAGCCCAATAGCAGAGTTCGTAACTATTCGTAGAGTCAATTTTCAATCATCATGAACTTTATAGGTTAGATCATGAAATAGAGACCGAAATTTTTAGGTTTAACATTTGAGCAATTCAAGCTTCCAAAATTCAAGAACTAGTTGAGCGTTCCCTTTGGTCAGGTAGCGTTACCATTTCAATAAAGAATTTTGATTCAAGCAATTCTGGAAACGCAAAACTTTGAATTTCTATTACATATCAAATCAAATTATAGTTTATTGAAACTGAAGAAGAGCAAAATTCAAAATTTTTGATCAGAGACTATGAACCTAATTTTAAAATATTCAGCCAAGAATCTTGAGTACCACAGAATTCCTGTTATTTACAGCTTACGACGCATCCTACAACAATCCTGTTGCGATCAAATGCAGTGAACAGATTGCTAGCGATGAGCTCTCTTCCATGTCGAAAATGTGGCGAAAAGATGGAGAAGAGCATTTTAGCACTGACAACATTGTGTTCATCGAGAATAATAAGAGTATATTGTGTGTTGCATCCTTCACTTAGCTGTTGTGGGGGTAAAAAATTCAAATTTAGGTTCACCAGCTTAACACGTGATGACAGTGGGATCTATTCTTGTTGTGTGAAATCTCCCCCGGAAACGTCGTATAAGTGCATTGAACACTTGCTGACTGTCGTTGGTGGAAGCGTCGATCTTACTACGATGCTTCTGCACAAAACTAATGATGGAGAAGGTTATAATTTACAAAATTAATTAAGTGCCGTCGAAAATCAAAATTCTAGCTTTTGGCCATGTTCTAAAGATCAAAAATGTGAATAACATCTGTAGTAATTAGAGCTTGTTTAAGGTGCCAATCCGAGAAATGTTCGTGTTTCGGCGTGGGAGGGGGATGGGGGGGGGGGGGGAGTAGCAATTTTTGGCTAGAATTCCCTTAAGGGAGTGGCGTTCGCCAAAAAAAATTTCTTTTCGTAAAGTTGAATTGGATTTTTTGAAAATTTTAGAAATTGTCTTGATTACTCGCAAATAGAAGAGTCACTTGCAAAACTTTAATTCCCATGTAAGTAACTTTCAAAAAAAATCACGACCTTTTTGGAGGTGGGGGGGGGGGGTGGAAGTTGGGCTACTGTATGTTCATTACTGACAAGCTCAGTCTCTTAACCTCTATAAATTATTCGGGGCCGGACTTGAAAACTGATTCTATAGGGTGTTTTTTGTTGTTTCTTCATTACTGACTATGTTTTAAGTACTTTTTTAATTGGTCTAGAAATGCCACGTCTTTTGCGTATCAAATAAATAAAAATTTACTAAATCATGTATATTTTTCGTATAGATAATATTTTTACCACAATTTTTATTTCAGCTCGAAATGCGACAACGTGGAGTGTTCTAATTGCGGATGACCACATATTGAATGCTATAGAAGGAGACACGTACTACATAAAACTTTTTGAAGAGAATGTAACTGATGTCAGCTGCACCATGGACGGATCTATGGTGGCTGAAGTTGAGACGGTAATCTCTATTTTCCACTCATCCAACATTAATCCGAAAAACCAGTCTCGTTCTGCACAGACGCATATCCCTGCTGAATATGGCGATATTCTGATACGTTCTTTCAACGGAAGCATAAATACTGGTAACTACACCTGCAATGCTTCCTATATGCAAGATAATTCGACAAAAGAACTGCAGGTATTTCTTAGAAGTTTTCTTGCTGGTGAATGAAGTAATGTTGAAATTTAGGTGTACTTTGCGGCTATTGAATCACCATTACCAAATGTCTATCAGGAAGAACTTGATCAGGACGTTGTTTCTGGATTCACAGGAGCAAAATTTACCAACAGCTTTCTTTTCTGTGTATATTTGATTGTTATGTATCGTATGTAAAGATGTATTTGTTTACTTCTTTCAGCAAAAACATTCTTTTTTCTTTGGTAGGTGACGCCTCCGATCAAGTCCAAGAAGCTCTGACGGAGCTGGAGCGAATACAATATATGTAATTTCTCTACGTAATTGAGCACTATGTTGGTCCTGACAATGCCTTCAATTTATTAAGTTGGAAGATATGATATGGTGAAAACATTGTTAGCAGTATATATTATCAATGTAAGGAAGAGTGGCGTAGTGGTTTGAGGCCTGCTATCGAAGTCCGACCACGGTTCGATCCCTCTCCTGAGCCAATCAAGCCTTCTACCCTTCGGGGTAAATTGGTGCCAAAGTAATCTATAAGGATAAAGGCTCTAATTTTGTAGCTGGCCTCCGCAAGTCATTGTAAATGCTTGCACGATTTCAGCTGTCTCTTTGACTACGAATCATTACAGAGACCACATACTATTGAAAAGACCTTGGCGAAGCCGCAGCGTCTTGGATAAATTTGCACAATTGTTGCCAGGAGCTCAGTTGTTGAGAAAGTCGAGTTTGAAATTTTGGCATCGTTCAATACTAACAAGGGGACGATACTCAACGTCCGTGGCCTTTTGAGACGAGATGTATACCATTACACTCGCCCTCGAACGCTGATTCCGAATCTGACTTCCGTTTCTGCTAATCGTTTCTCTGAAGGAAGTTATGGAGGAATTTCGAGCCAACATTCGCCTAAGGGTATGGTCACCAGGACGGCCTCTACCGGCGTCATGTTATTGTCTAGTGGTTGGTGTGATAGCCTCATAACTTGATACAGGTGTAGGTTCAAATCCTTTTGTGTTTTTGTTTTGCACTACCTCAATTAAAATCGTTCGAGATTCACTCGAATTATGGTTATTGGGTACATTTTAACGCAAATGGTAAATTTTTTCCAAATTTCCACATTTTTTGAAGAGTAAGGGCGTTCAGTTAGCTCGAAGATGCGAAAGAAGGTTTATTGAGGCAATGCAAAACTGAAAAACACAAAAGGACTCGAACCTATAACTGCGTCAACTCATGGGCCTATCGCCCTAACCACTAGACCACACCGCACCGGTACTGTCGCCGCTTCGAAAGTATTTCAGTGGGCAGCCAAAGCCCGCACAATCCTTTACAACATGTTTGAAGCGATTAGCAGAAACGGAAGTCAGATTCGGAGTAAGCGTTCCAAGACGAGTGTAATAATATACAACTCATCTCAAAAAGCCACGGACACCGAGTATCGTTCCCTTGTAAGCAGAGCTGTTTTTATTTCAATCTCACTAGTCAGTGGGCAGCTGCTGAGCATGAATTCAGCAGAACGGTTCACATTTCTCATTCGGTGGTCGCTTCTGGCGTTGAACAGGTTGATATCAACAGTAGTTACAACTTATGGCTGGCATGTCAGTACACAGTCGGCTTTTGCTGAAACATTTTCATTAGGAAGGCACGTCCACCGCTTCTTTTGAGGTTTTAAAAAAACCCATTACGTGGAAGTTTTCCGATTCTGCGGATTCCAAAGCTTTGCAAAAGCTTGCCTTTGCTATTTCGTAATCCGCAGCATTTTTCATCCACTATTCAGATAGCATCCTTCTCTACTACCTGCGTTTAAATCACCCATCAAAACGTCCTGTTAATGACGCTTTCCAAAGAAGCGCTGCTTAGCTCATCCAGAAGTTCTTCATGTACCTTCTCTAGCCATGCCGTAGACCGCATCAATTTTCTGCGCAAAACAAAAATAAATCTGTAAAAGACTGGTGGAGAGAAACCTTACGCCTGTGCAGTGTCGTTCCAATCGCTCATTAATCAGTACCTTAACTGACCTGCGAGTAACTTCTCCATCCACTCATTTGCCGTTGTTGTAAATGTAGAGCAAAAGTTGTGCGATTCGCATGGTTGTTGTTGTTGCCATTAAGGCATGTTTCGCAAAGAGCTACGATATCAAATTAATTCTGACTCCTCATAATTCTGTTATTCTGCGTTTATAAGAAGGGACAATCAAAAATGCTTTCGGTCTGTCTCGATCCTGCATTTCTTGACTTCAAGTATGACCATCCACGCACCAATCGCCTATCCTGTAGATATGTCACAGTAGGAGAAAATCTGATTGTTTAATTGGAGCATGCTGGGGGAAGTGATTGGGATTTAACAAGTGTTAATGATTATTCAAAGTGTAATTAGCTTAGTGTTAGTTTAGAGGTGTAAATCATTAGTGTTCCTACAGCGCTACAATGACAGGTGGTACACTTCATTAGAACTTTTGCAATCAGTAGTACAGTAGATGGCAGCTGCTGAGGATTTTCGGAACTTTAAAGGTTAGTTCTCTTTTAATAGAAGTTCATCACACTAACGATGTGGGACCGCTTGACACACATAGTGTGTCGAGGCTTGTATCTCGTTAAAACGACGATTATTTTGGAATAAAGTCATTCCAGAGTTTTTCTTCGCATTGTGTGTAGAAAAAACCTTCATCCCTTCTGCCAAACTTCAGAGATACTGTACGTATACTGTAGATCTCCGTATGCGTGAATTAGTCTAGAAAATGTCTAGTCCATGAAAGGCCTCTGTCCTACGAAGCAAGCAACTAATAGTCTGCATAGTCGTCAATGTGTTAAATAAGCTACTTGAAGCTATACTTGACACTGCAAATTTCTGTGTGAAGAAAGAATACATTTGATTTGACCCTCGGACTCTTTTCGAAGCAATCATACTGTTGGATTTTTGTACTGCCGCCATAATACCACTATCGTAACAATTCTGAGCACATGATGTGGAGCTTGATTACCATTTGAACAAAGCATACTCACATTTTCACACAATTTTGCGCAAATTGCGCAGACCTTTCGTCTACGACGCAATGTTTCGATCGCTTCGTAACTAACGCATCGATGAGAAAGTTTTTAATTCTTCTTATAACGCGAATGTAAGCCCAGACTTCTTGAGCACATAGTTATCTATATGCCGCCCTCGAGCTCGAGAGTTAGCCTTGCAACAAATATAGTTCCATTTTAGTGCGATAACTTTCTTCTATAATTGAGCAATATCGTGGAGACAACCACAGAGTTCTATTAAAACTTCTGTTGGATATTCTTTCATGCATAAATAAAGCTTTTACTAGAACGCGACTCACATCCAAACTTCGCTCAAGTCATTCTGCAGCTCTCACTTCAAAAGGCTTAAGGTAGTCATCGAACGTGGAGTGTCCCGTTCTCAAAGGAAAAGTAGAAGTACGAAATTTGACCGATCAATTTTTGGTTACTTTAATACTGCAAATAAAAGGAAAATGTTTCCTTTGCAGTATGCTTCAGCTCTGTCTGCCGCACTTTGTTGAGAGTATAGATCTTCGACCGGAGCCCTCTCACCTAGGTGAGCCTGCGAGGAAAATTTGAACTCGCTATAATCACGGGATCCCCAGCATACCACGACATAGCAACACTAGCCCACTGTAGCAACCATCTTGGCACCTTGCTTCTTATTAAATAGCTCAAGTAATCTTAACAGGAAACGAAGCCCGAGCGCAACGAATGCAGAAGGCGACCACCCACATTTTTGTAAGCTATCTGTCTAACCACCCTCAATATCGTTACTTTCTCGAGCTTAAAGAGGAGGCGGCTAATGTAGTGATTGGCATTTTAGTAATATTTTTGTCAAACTTTTCTTCCTTTGAACACATACTCATATGTAGGCATGATTATGAGATAAGCTACAGATATAGCCAAACTGTCCTGCCAAAGTCTGCTCGCCGGGCGCAGTAGATATAGCAAGGGGGGGGGGGGAAGATCACAGAATGAGACTAGCTCGGGAAAGTTATTCGTCGTACTAATTGAAGTGATGTCCTTTGGGATAAATGGGGCCTTTTTTCTAAGATTTTGGTAACATCACTCACCTTGACAATCTTTTGGGCTTTGATGTCCGTGTACATCGTGTAGAATAACTCCATTATGCAAAGTCAGCAAATTTTTGGAGTAGCTCCTGCTTGAACGTCAGCAACTCCTGACTTATGGAAAACGTCAGAGCTTATGGCTTGAACTTCCGTTACTCTCGTACTCAGCTTGTTGAGTCAAATTTGGGCACATCAATGTATTTTGGGTAGGCTTTCCTTTTGCTTCAAACACGTAAAATCTCGAATTTCATGAGCTTCAAAGGATGCTTAGGTAGATTCCTCTGTATCGTTATTTAAAATCAAGCAGTTTGAGTAGAATTGTAGCACACATCATAATCTACATGATGCCAAGATTGGAGTGCACCATAATCAATAGGGGAAGAATTATTCAACGTGTATGGTTTTTAGTTGGGCAACAAATTGTCTTCACTGACAAGGATCCTTTCTTCTTTCAAGTCAGTCTTTCTTCCCAGTTCTACTCTTGCTTGATGGCCTAGGTCAGAGCTAGGAGATAAGCGACTGTTCGCGGGGAAGGTAAGAGAGAACTGATACTGGCAACCTTATAGCTTTCTAGCAGGAAAGTGGAAAGAGGGAAAAGTCACGCATTATTGGAGATGGCATATTAGTCTTTTTTCTCAAATGTTAACTGGCGTCTCAAGCAGACATCAAAACTAAACATGTTCATAGTAGAAACTAGTTGGCGTTCCCGATCCCGCTTGGACCGGGTAAGTTCAAATTAGCCTGGTATGATTTTGGTTCAAAACGTCTTGTGCTTACTATTCTTCACTCTGCTTCATTTTGCTCAGTTTATTCGCTTACCCCATCCTCTCTTCTTTCTTCGTGCTTCTGCTCCGAGTCTCAGCAGCGCTTCTGTGGTATCCGTTGTAACTGTCTTCCTTCTTGACCGCCTTGCTTCGTAACACCGCATCCACATCACCGCAAAATGTAAATGGCCGCTACCACCCCGTCCTGTTGACTTGAGGAAATGATTCGAACAATGATTAATAAGCTTCATTTTCCTTGGATGAAAGTAAGTAGTCAATAAATCGATAAAAGGGCCCAATGACTCGCCGCGAAAAGTAGCCTATGATCTGCGCCGTGGCTTGTTTATATGGAGAGAGTTTCAGCCTTATAAATCCGTTTAGAAGAATTTGTATTCCGAGCAAAGATTCACACAGACATACACACTTTGACTTTTATATATATACATATAAATTATTGAGATCTCATATAATCGAACTTTCCAATGATCTGCTATTCGCGAACTGGGTTTCATGGAAAAAATCACAACCTGCAAATTACATTTATTTTGTTGAGCAGTGCCGCAGTAGAGCCTCATTACCGCTTTACGGCGTTTTCATCAACTTCCTGAAAAGATGGACGACTTTGAAAACAGGGGTTCATCTTCTAAGGATTTCCGGGGGATCACACAACACAGTGGAAATCACAGCTTGTGTGGCGTTTGCCATCCATTATACTCAAGTGCCAGGGTATAGGAACCTTTCTAACATAGACAGAAAAAGAATAATACAGACATCTGGAGTAGCGAAATATGACATTCCTTTCGGAACCCTTCACCTCCCCAGCGGGGGCGTAGATATGGGCCTTATACTCAGTATAGTATGGCTAAATAATGGCTAATCAGAGGGCTGGAAGCGTCTAAATGTTGTAGAGTGCCATTGTGCAAACGACATCAAGTAATGGATGGAACTGCTCGAAGCAAGCTTGAAAAGTGACAGCACTTGACGTCTTTTCCTGTGGTTTTAGTATGAAGTACTGCTGCCTGGCCGAGTTCCGCGCTTGCGACTTTTATAGATCACGAATCTCTTCCCCCCCCCCTTCCACCCTCCTTCCCGCTCCCGGTCTGGTGATCACTTTGATAGTGAAGAATCGTCCGACATCGGGAGATTGATACATACCGCCCTAAGAGGCAAGGAAATTGAAACTGATATAGCAAAACCCACCATGAGAAGCTCTCCAAAATTGTGAGAGAGTTCAAAGCAATCCTGTACAGGCTTGAGGGTCACAAACCCTGCAGCAAGTACTGATGATGGATTAAGAAGCTCTATGCCTGAAGGAAAATCAGTTAAGAGCATGGTGGTGGCACGAGAGGTACTGTCGCTTCTACAACTGCTAATACCCGCTCTTCTACGATCAGCGACACGTATGACTAACATGTTAGCAACTTGCAGGAAAGTACGTCTCCTCCACAGTTACCCTTGGTCTGCGTCTCACCCTGCCACGTTTGACTAACATGTCGGCAACGTGGCAACAACATGTTTGCAACATGCAGGAACATGTTGGCGTGGTCAAAATGTTCTGCCAACATGTTGTGGCATGTTGCAAACATGTTGTTGCCGCGTTGCCAACATGCTAGCCACACATGGCAAAATAGAAATGCGTGGAAACGACGCATGGCTCGAAACTAGATTAACATCGTCAGGCATGACTCAAGCAATACGCTAGAGTCTTCTGTAAGAGGGCGACAAGCGAAGACCGAAGAAGAATATCGAAATGGAGAAAGGAATGCGAGGTACCGGAAGCTGCGCCGTAACGTAAAGATCAAACGGTGAACACATGGAAAGACCAATAATACCAATTGCTGGAGAAGAGGTATGACTAGTAGTTTCGAAGACGAAGAATGGTAAGTAAAATGGTTCAGAAGATTTACCAATTGAGATTTGGTTGAAAAATATGTGGAAAATCCGAGCTTCCTTGTTATCGCTTTTTTTAAGTCATAAGAGTCAAGTGTATGCCTCGTGACTGCTACGCCAGCTTTGCTGTATGGAAGAACAAGAAGGCATCGCAGGCTTTAAGCTCAACTACCGAGATTCTGCTACGATATTCTTTTGATTTTTCGCTGTCTTGCAGATGGCTGAGAAAGAAAACTGCTATCTGAAAACGGCAGATATAACCAAAATTTAGAATCAACTCAGTTCTACCTTCACGATTAATAGATTAAGCACATCACGAGCCACTCACACCATAAACTGTACTGCGTAGGGCTGAACACAGCTCCGAGTATTCAAGCTGGATATCGCTTTGGGAAAGAAGCAAAGAAATATCGTTTTTTTGGGTCCGAGGCGGAGCTTTGGAAGCTATTTACAGAAATATGCGTCGACATTTCACTATAGAATAAGAAACTAGTATCGCAAAGAACTGTTTTTTTGAGGTTCGTTTCAGACATGCACACCAGTTTTGACACATCATGAGTGGGCATGCTGGCATCAGTCTCAACTTGATCGTGGGCATATCGCCGACACAGCGGAGGGAAAATGGTGCTTTAAACAGACTTAAACTTTGTTTACAACCGTGGCGCAATGATATGACAGCAAATTTAGTGTGCACACGCATGTGAGAGATCTCAAACCACGGCGCGAATATCAACAAAGACTCTGTGTTCTAACTCTGTTCCATACCACCCGATGTACATGAGGGATCAATCATTCAGGTTAAGGGGAAGGTTCCATTATAAGACCAGCTGAGCATTCTCTTGACTGATCTTTTGATAACAATAATAATACGTGATACGTAATACGCAGCTGACGAAATTACTTATTAATTGCTTGTAAACATGTATTCCCGTCACCGTGCTTTCCAGAAAACCCACCAAATAACTGATCAAACCGGCACATGATCTCTATTTGAACTTCACGCTCAGCCCTCGTTCACGAGTAAATAGCAGATAGATTGCGGTTGAGGCACAATACGACCGCGGCAAACTGCGCCAGATCAAGTATTTGCCCGATCTTTCGCTATTCTCTCTCTCAAAAATGCCGACACCACATTTAATGTCTCCTTTTCTTGCACTTCATTGCAGACTGGTTAATCATCTTCAGTCTTATAACAATGATCTCTAACCCATGAATCACCTTTCGCAGAGTCTTACGCTGGCCATTATGAAATCCACTAAGCTTACGTAATGGCGCTAGTCCTCGTCATTCAATAGAGCGTCTAATTAATCTGAAACAAAAATGACTTCCTTTGTGCAACTCTCACATGCATTGAGGCATTGTAGATTATTCCTTACTGTATACTCTACCTTCTTCTGGAAGACGAACAACTAAGCTAAAGACCATCTTGTTTCTTCGATTTCTGAATGAAATGGATAATTCGAAAAAACAAAGCAGAAACTATTGTCAATTTTTTTAGTAAATTAAACAATTAATCATATTCACATCGATATTCTACAACATCTTATGAGAGAAGTATACCAACTTAAATCGGCAATTGAAGACGAAATGTGATCTAAACTTGTCTTCAACTGTTTCACTGCTTTTCTTTTGTTGAATAACTCTCCAGTATAGTATAGTATAGTATTTATAGGTGTCTAAAAGTTCATATCTGCAAAGTAGCATGAAATTAACAGTTGTACAAAACCACCTGAAAATGCGCAATCAATTCTGTAGCAAGACCTTAAATAAAGGAAAAGAACACAACCAGTGGAAACCCAATTTTTTTGTAGGCTTTCCTCTAATTTTGTGCTGCTTGAAGCGTCACAAACTTGAACTTTCAAACACTTATAACTTCCGGTAGAGTTTATTCCGCAGAAAAGGAAAGCAGATTTGGAATCGGCTTTCAAAGGCGGTTCTAGTAATATTCATTTCGTCTTCGATCACCTACTCAACTTGGTAACCGTTGTGTGATTTTGAGCCTAGTTTATCACAAATGCCACTTGTTTTTCCCCTTGAACAACATCCCAGGTTTTTTATTATACAATTTAGGAAGTGGTACATATGTCAACTCTCATACTAACCCTTTCTGTTGCGATCCTCATCACTTCAATTATGACTGACGACGACTGTTATAAATATAGTAAATCAGAGTTCACCACGATTGTCGAGTGCAAGCATGGATGCGAATATAGTTTCATCAGCAAAGGTACTCTTTAACGTATGTTTGCAAGCAAGTTATTGAACTATCCTATTATCTCCAGGAAAAGTTTTCAAGCGAATATCCGGTGGATGCTCAGCAGTCAAAGAAACCGGCTGTCGAAAGGGAGAGAATGAAGCAACGGTTTGCACTTGCAAAGGGGATCTATGTAATTTGAGTGGATATATAATGGAGAACTCCGAATCAAATGAAAGTTGATTGGATATCCTGTTGAAGAATCTATCAAAACGCTATTTCTATATGACGTTGCGCTTCAGAAATTACTTTAAATCAGTGCTCGGGTATCTGTCATCTCTTTGAATACTTGTTCATTTTGTTTTGTTTTCCACATGTCCTCTGTAATTTCACGCGAATAAAGTGTGTCATGTGTCACACGAATGCTTTTTTTGAGTTGGTCGGCGTATTCGATATCTTCACCCTTTACGCTTCCCAATTTTTCATTTCCCCTTGTCATCGGGAACAATATCAAAACAAACATTCTATTTCATTTAAACAAACATTCCGAAGATTTCTAAAGAGAGGAAATGTATTATTTATTCATATCACACCAAGGCTAACTTTTGTAACTTTCTCTTCATTCGTATGTGTTTATCAACCCGTAGTTCAAAAAATAACAATATATCCCGGAGTTTCTAGAAAGACGAATTATATTTTTTTTTCAGAAAATCTGATTACTTTTGACATGTAATGTTACGCATGTTCCTATATACTCTGAATGTAAGAATCCGACAAGGCTTCTGCTCTCTAGACATTAAAAGCATTACGATTTCACACAAGACTTTCACAGCTCCGTTGCTCCCATAAATTCTGAAGTGGTTGTAATTTGGTCCAAACCATCATATAATGTGATGATTCGATCATGGTTGCATATGTGACCATGATCGTCCACTGACCTTTCAGTTTAGTCGGTCGTGCTAAATCATGAGACAAGCAAGTAACCAGCAGGCTACCAAAGTGGTTTCATTATTGTATCAATTCAAACTAAACTCCGAAATATCCAGCACGTTAACATCATTGTTTTGTTATCAGGTAGAGTAGTGAAAATTGCACTTCATTTCAACACGCACTTGAGACCGTTTTTTATATGAGAAAGTATTAGGTTGTAACAGAATTAATGCAGGTTTTGAATTCCAACCGCAATAAGTCATACACTTCCCATTTCTAAGTAGGTTGCAAAATACCATGCGATAGAGCAAAGCAATCGCTATAAGGTGGCGATCTTGCTTTAGCAAAAACTCTGATCCACCACGAGTTTCGAGCCAAAAACTAAAAAGATTCAACTGTCCGAAAATTTGAGAAAAATCGTAACTCAGTTCATAAAAAACCTACAAAAATTCTAACTTGCTCACGTAAACACTATTCACATAAGACATCTATATACGCCTTTGCCGTATTTTTTCTTTTGTTAGGAATCAAGAAAACGGAAATTTTCGTGCATTTGCCAAAGTGATGTTGTGCAGTCCCCATATAGGTAGTTGTATACCACAAGCCTGTAGAAGTACAGACTTAAATTTTCAGCTCTCTACAAGCTTTAGTTCTCGAGAAATACCGAATACAGTTTTCGCTAGTCATGTGGTCCAAGCTAATATTCAAATTTCTCGAGAACTAAAGCTTGTAGAAAGCTGAAAATTTACGTTTATACTTCTACAGCTTTGTAGTATACAACTACTTATGTGGGAACGGCACAGCAACACTTTGGCAAATGCACGAAAACTTCCGTTTACTTGATTTCTAACAGAGAAAAAATACGGCAACGGCGTGTATAGATGCCCTATGTGAATTGTGTTCACTGAGCAAGTTAGAATTTTTGTAGATCTTTTATGAACTGAGTTACCATTTTTCTCAATTTTTCGTACAGTTGAATCTTTTTACTTTTCGGCTCGAAACTCGTGGTGGATCAGAGTTGTTGCTAAAACAAAATTGTCACCTTATAGAGATTGCTTTGCTCTATCGAATGGTATTTTGCAACCTACTTAGAAATGAGAAGTGTATAACTTATTGCGGTTGGAATTCACAACCTGCATTAATTCTGTTACAACCTAATACTTCTAACCACTTTTTCATTTGAAACAGAGATGTGACGATTTTACACAATAGAGGGATGAAGAAGTTCATTCTGTAAGCTACTTGGTGAAGGCTCACTTGTTTACGGCTCAAATAAAGTTGTGAGAAATGCAAGGCTGGGGAACGGTTCAAACTCTTTCAACGACATCGCTTTGCTAAATCTAAATCCAAATGTAAGTTTCCCCATCTCTATTGTTTCCGATTGGTTTACTCGTCGTTTCATTGAGAAGGTAATTTGAAGCTGCTGTTTACCGTATGATGAAAACTTAGTTGATTGGTTGATCCGATTACTACCACTGCTGTTTTTACCATAATGCATGGTCAAACAGGAGAAATCGATCTGTATTAATAAAGCTGAGTGCTGTTTGTATATTTATCTGTACGTACGTTCCAAATAGACGCTTTTATTTCTGTGCCGATCGGACCAAACTTGACACTTATATACCTCAAGGTGGGGCGGGTGTCATGGGCTACCTTTCGATCGATCGGTATTCATCGATATTTTGCAAAGTTTGTGCTACGGAGCTAATTGCCGCATGCATCAATATCCCCGCCGGGAGGGGATCGCAGCTTGAAAGAAAGCTTTATATCCTGAAGCTCCAGATATCTAAATTTCACCTGTCTACCTATCAGTAAGTATTTCCACCATCCTTCACTATGGACATATTGAACAGAAGCGAGAAGCTGTACAAACTGCATTTTCCAACTTTTTGTATGATCCCCTGTGGCCGTATTCATCAACGAACCCTGAGGGTTAAGCTTACCCTCCAGGGTTAGTTTAACCCTCAGGGTTCATTGGCCGTATTCATCAACCATAGGCTAAGGTTTAGCACGGAACGCGATCTATCCGTATCGATCAACGAACCTGTGGCCGTATTCATCAACGAACCTTATGGTTGATGAATACGGCCATTGAACCCTGAGGGTTAAACTAACCCAGGAGGGTTAAGGCGTCAGTTATGCGTGCGCTGTGCAAACTCACATCACAGAATGCCTAAGTACACTAAATTTACTTTGTACTTCTATTCTTTCACTGTCATAGTAGTATAATCAACGAATAAGCTTCTAGCACTAGTTTTTATAATGCATCTCTAGCATATTTGTGCAGCATCCAATCTTACAGCGTAAGTTTATTTTCATGTGTGCAATTGTGCCGTGTAAGTTCTTTTGCGTAGTTCGTTTTATACCGGGCTTGTGCTACTTTTTTAGTCAGTGCATGTTATCATAAAGGGGTTCTTCAGTTTTGGCACTTGTCAGAGTGGAATGCGCAACCATTTTCCCTCGTTGCATTCATTTGTGACCAAGCTAGGATTTTTTTCTCGCGAAGTCAGTGTTTCTTACTTCGAATTTGAACACGAAACAAGTTGAAACTAGATACTATAACAACTAATACTAAGTACTACAACACTCGTTGATCGTTTTCTATAAAACTGTTACATGCGAGTAAATGTTTGTATGAAGTGTTAGGGTAGAGTTAACCTTTCTCTGAGCTGGGGTTAAATTAACCCTGATGAATCACGTAAGTTTAACCCTCCAGGGTTAGTTTAACCCTCATGTTCGTTGATGAATACGGGTCAGTCGCTTTCGGGGTAAAATTAACCCTCAAGGTTAGATTTAACCCTCAGGGTTAAGCCTACCTTGTGTTTCATGAATACGGGTTAAACGCTTTCCAGGGTTAAACTAACCCTCCGGGGTTAGTTTAACCCTCGGGGTTCGTTGATGAATACGGCCACTGGTGGTCCCCGGGGGACGGCCGTCTACTCTTTGAAGTCATTTTTCTTTCTTCAGAGTCAATGAAAACATCCCAAAGTTGTATTGCTTATCTAACCCAACAGTGCAAGCATGTTGCTGATAAGAACAAATGATGTTTTGGAGTCATGAAACTTTCGATGAACCACAGGTCAAAAGTTGGGATTTATCGGAAATTTCGATATCTCAGAAACTCATTTGTTCTCATCATCAATATGCTGAGCACTGTTAAGTCGATAATCAGTGCAACTTTGGAATGTTTTCATTGATTTTAAGATAGGAGAGATGACTTTAAAGAATGAACAATTGTCCCCCGGGGATCATAAGGCGATCATACGAAAAGCTGGAAAATGCGGCTTGTACAGCTTCTCGCTTCTTTCAATATGTTCATAATGAAGGATAGTAGAAACACTTGCGGCTAGGTAGACAATGTGAAGTCCAGATATCTGGAGCTTCAGGATATAAAGCTTTTCTTTTGAGCTGTGATCCCCTCCCCAGTGGGGATGTTAATGCATGCGGCCCTAAGAGTGGCACAGGGGGTAAGTGAGTATGCTGGTCACAAAATATATTGACAGGATTGGGCGGAGCCGTATTTGATACTACCATCTACTACATATCTACTATATATATATATATATATATATATCAGTGGCAGACCGAGGGGGGGGCGGGGGAGGCGCCCCCCCCCCCCCCCGAGAACGAGTCGCGAAATTTTTGAAACTTACCTATATGGGTTGTAAAAATGTACAAACGACTTGTTTGCACTTGGAAAATAATTAAAATAATTTTTAAAATTTTTTAAAAATTCATTTTAGCCTTATAAAAAAATTTTTTTCGGGAGCGTGGCTGACGCCACGCCCCCTTTTTTCAGACTTTAGGGGTCGGGGACCCGCAAAAATTTTGAGAAGCACCCCAAAACATTTTTTCGAAGTGCGTGACTAACGCCACCGCACCTTCTTTAGAAAAAATTTTTGTCGCCCCCCCCCCGGAAAAAATTTCTCGGACCGCCACTGATATATATATATATCATCTACTATATCTGATAAATATCATCTACCATGACTTATGTCGCTTATCTGTGGCTATGTGGAGTTTGTCCGTTATGAAAATACAGTGAAGGATGTATATTGCTCTACAGCATGTGAGAGTAGCATGACATGGGAGGTTGGTTTTTATTCGGGGTTACTTACTGGATTGATGATGCCCTTTGAGTAACCTTTCGTCTTTCTATAATGGCCAGTGCGAGCCTCTGCGAAGCAAAGATGACACTGCTGGAAAATCCGTAATAAGGGGTGGAGAGCTTGAGAATATGCGTCGGATTGGCAGTAATTATTGACAAAGGTAAACAAAGAAGTCAAGAGATTGTTTTTCTGAGGATGCAAAATAATCCCTCGATAATCCATGAAAGGCGCTCCAACTTAGGCTAGTGATTTGTAATTCAAAAGCAGCGGAATATGCTTCAAACAATCCTCCATCAAATGATGTTGTTCCATGATAAAGTTCGTTAATAATCAGGGTCGAGCAAGAGGTGTGGCACACAAACACCAGAAACGACCCCCCCCCCACCAGCATTATCGTTTGCTTTCCGTAGGCATGACATAAGGACTCTACAATGCATAATTAGGTACATATTCGTAATCATCGTGTCAAATAACCCCCATGAGCCAAGTTTTAGCAAATTCCGAAAATTCACAATAGTGGACCACCAAAGTGAAGTGATTTTCAAACATGATGCACCATATTTCAAAAGTGAATTAGCTAACTCTTTTTGTACTCATTACAAAGCACTACTCCCTATTTACCGGTACCATGAATCCTTCTCCAACTAACCTTCAAACTATGGAATTAGAAGCAGGCCAAAAACCCGTTTGTTCCATTTTTCGCTTCCAATGGCTGCGCTTTCATCAGCTTTTACTCAGAGCGAAGAAGATAAATCAGGCCCAAATTAGTCCTATGAAAACTATAAGACTTAGTCTATCAAAATACATGTATTTTGTTCACTAAAATTCTTTTCGGAGGCATCTTAATGGGGTGTGGCACAAACCCTTAAAAGCTGTGGCCGCCAAAGCTTTTTAGGGGTTGTGCCACACCCCATTAGCTTACCTTCAAAGCATTCAAATCTCTGTCTTTTTTATATGGTTGCTGCTGCTAAACCTTCTTCTCCACATAGCAGGAATTTCATTCAAAATTGTTTCTCCTAGGGTAAGGTACATTCGTTTTTCTATAGCTAAGGAAATGGAAAACACCGCGAAAATATTGAATTACGGTAGTGTGTTAAGTCTGCGCTACTACATGAATCGCGAGGGAAGGCGGCAAGAACAAGTAAATTTGATGGCCTATTTTCGTAACTTTCACAGATGTGATTTGAAGAGCCTGTTTGATCTTCTCTAGTCTGAGAAATTGAAAGCGAAAAATGGAACAAACGACATTTTGGCTTGCTGTTAATTCCAGAGTTTGGAGGTTAGTTGAAGTGGGATTCCTAATGTGAGCAAAAAAGTAGTAGTACTTTGCAATGAGTGCAAAAAGAAGTAGTTCACTCATCCTTGGAACAGAGTTAGCATGTTCGAAAATGACCACCTCACTTGAGTGTCCCAATATTTGGAAACCTCAAAATTCGCTGAAACATGGCCCGCAGAGGTGATTTGACGTGCTTCACGAAAATGATGCTCTTATGCTTTTAGGATTCTTTTAATATGCTTGCTGTACGTGTGCGGCGGTGGGCCAAAATATCAGTGCTGGTATCCTGCACAATGGGCCTACCAGACATTTTTGACTGACATCATGTCGCTAACATCACTATCACTTCGATGACGACCCCGCCCCTCTTACTGACCCCCTTACACCCTCCAGGTGTGGCGTGCAACATCCCACGCTTGACCCTGTCAATCAATAATTTTTATCAAGCTTTCACCATGAAATATTTATGAGGATGATTATAAAGGACAGCATTTTGCGTAATTACAAGCTAATGTGCGTTTCTACTGATGAAGAAATACACATATTAAACATGTGCTTGTATTCTATACAAGTTGTACAGACCAGCTATACAGCGAATAATGAATTTTTGGCAATATTGGCATTTAACTTCAAAACATGCATTATTCAAGCAGCAGAGCGGGGCCCACTGCATAGTAACCCCACGGCTCGTTGCATGCCTCGCCTCATTTCTTGCAAATTGTCGATTGTTTCCGAACATGGACGACGTGCTATGCATCCTAGAAAGTGAACACATTCTTCTGGGGCAAGATTCTTAATAAATTACCTCTTTGCCGTAGTTCAAGACTGTCTTCAAGATCTTCACAGACGGAGGTGGCAAGTTCGTTTAGTACTCGTCGCATCTCTTTCTGCAAAAAATGGTCACGAATTTGAGTACAAATTAATTACCACCAGTGAAACAGCTTTCTACATTTTTGCGAATTCTATTGCAGGGTGTAATGCTAAGATTCTTTTTTGGCAACACCTTTACCATGATTTTAGATGTGGGGAAGAAGAGGGATGTACAACCATGTAAGGGCTAGCTAAATCTTGGAGCTTACAATAACGTTAACATTTTTTGTAATAAAAATTAGTAATGAATTAGATCAAAGGGCATGATGCACATCAACAACATCACCACGAAGGGTTATTCGAATTACCAACTCTAGTTCTCTCGCAAGATCTTTTAAGCGCAATAAATATGTATAACAACGGAGAATTTTCAAATTTGCTAAATCGCTTGACTTTCAGGCTTCACCATCTTTTCCTTCCTGTTTTTTGGAGGGAAATACTAGAACCTGCCCTACTAGATACATTTTGATTTTCTCAAAATCACCTTCTTTGCTGATAGAAGTGAAAATTTCACCTCACTCCCAAAATTTCAATTTATTTTCTGTGTTAGTCACACAACTAAAAATCTATCCTTTTTTGCATTCCATTTCTGTCGCAGAAAGATTTCTCACAATCGGAAGTGAAATAGAATATAAAGGTCTGGACCACATATGTTACGAAATTTTTTGAGAATTAACAAAAAACGCGTAGCAAACCAAATCCCTAATCTCTTCTACTCCTTCCCCTTCCCTTTTCTTATCTTCCACTTTTCAACTCTTTTTGATAGATTAGAGCTCCTTATGCTGACAGTTTGATAATTCAATCCAAACAAATTAGTGAAGCATGCAAATTTATATAAAAATGTGATTTGCTCTGTGAACAAGCAATTATTTCCACCTAAATATCGTCAATAATTTTTCATCCCCTAAAAAGTTTTCTTAATTTTCACATCGACCACGACGTATCCAATCCTTTTTGAAACTAGGCAGTGGCGACATCCTAATCATAGCTAACTAGAACGAGAACTGTCGTAACCAACCGTTGCGTATCCATTTCTTCAACAGCTATGACCCAAAAACTTGAGGAACCAGTTCGAAGACTAATGTTTCTGTTCAACATCGCATTTTCGAGATTCCCGAAGAGAAAAAGAAGCGGAGCTAAGCATTTCGTCAGAAATCATGAAAAAAGCAGTGCTATAATTAGCTGCTCCTTAGATTTGTCTCGGTTTGCTAGCTCCATTATGGTAATCATTTTTTATCTGCACTGGCATTCTTTAGAGTCAGTGAGACGGAATTTCTTTAGATTAGATGACTTTCGGAAAAATATCTTTTAAGTCAGTATTCTACCAAGTTTTGCTTATCATTGAAAAATCTAAGCCTAACCTCACACCTGGATCACTTCCGATATGAGCGAGCCATCAACGGACGGAAGGGGTGGGGGGGCGGGGAGGGGGGTTAAAAAGTCGTTGACTTCATGAGGATAGTGATATGTTTAGCAGTGATTCCAAAAACTCGTTCGGGAATGAAAACGTAGGACTTTTAATTTTGGAGAAGGCTAGTCAACAATCCCGAAAACAGAGCTTATATCCCACAGTGTCTAAAAATGGGGAGGAATGGCAAAGATCCAAAAATTTTTACAAAGCTAACTGTTTTTAGAAGATTGTAAAGATCAATTAGATTATTCACAAACATAGATATTTGTATATGTAGCTTTTGACCAGTTTTAAGATTTTCTCAACCGGTTGGGAGGGATGGATGGAGGGGGAGGGGGAGGGGGGAACAGTAAGACGCAGTTTGACGTATACGTCCTCAGTGTTCTTATTTTTTATTTTTCTATTTTTCACCTTCTTCACTTACTCGCTTAAAGCCCCATATTTTTGAGCACCTTATGAGGATTGGTTTTGATTTGAAAATTTGTAAAAATCAATAAATCTGACCTGATATTTTGTATAGGTAAGTAACCAGTCAATTCGTGATTCGCTAATATTTGCTCGATCAATATTGTAGCGTAGAACGCTTTCTGCTGAAGACATATCGATATCCAGATTTATGAGATAAGGTCGAATCTTTGTCTGAAATAAGCGTGACTTGGCGAAAGTCGTTAATTGAACGACGGAGATGGTCATCTGGGGAAAGGAAAGTCCGAACGAAGAAAGCGCTGGGTTCTTATTCAATTATCAATGATAGCTGATGAAGAAAACTTGATGACTTATGGACTAACGAGCGGAAAAATCTATCTATAGTCTTTTCCCCAGAAAAAGACTAGAGAACTTGTTGCAAAAAACGTTGTGAACTCAAAGATGTTAAACGTTCATTTATTCTAGCATCTATTATAAGAGAAAGTTGAGAAGAGTGCTTGAACGCGGAAACAAGAAATTTCAAAGAATGGATGATATGAAGCATCTAGAGGATAATTTCTGATATAAAGTTCTTACCCGTAATTCATCCAAAAGATCGTCTGCGCTTTCACGAAGACCCAAAGCATCCGTGGAGAACTCGTGTATGAGATTGACGATGGTATTTAACTAAATCAGGTGTCAGTCATTTTTGAAAAAACATAGAAATATCTAATACTGAAGGATTCTGAGAGCAGGGCGGAGAATAGGGGCCGGGGGGGGGGGAGGCATACTGCGCAGCGGTCCTTGTATTTTGTTTCAAATTATAATTGATTCCATAAAAACATATGTATTCCAGAATCTGTTTTCTGCAATTTTGACAAAATTTTATGCTGTACCCGCGAGAGGTCTGGAATTTCAAAAAAAAAACTTGGAAAATTGCGGTCAAGCTCATGCCCTCCATTTAGAGAAATTTCTATTCCTCCTACTAGCAAAAGAAGTTCTCGGATCACAACTGCTAAATATCAAGTTTACCTTTCTGCAAATTTCTGCTTCAATCATGGCAATTTCGGCTTTCTCGACGATACGATGATCTTTCAACGAATCGCAAGTCTCATTCAGCTCAGCGCTTGTTGCAATACTCATATCGCAAGTGGGTTCTGATGAAGACTCGTCCTGAATAAAAAAATCGAAAGTAATGTATACGATGAGGTAGATGATACTCACCGCTGAATAATCCATATTGAACGTAATATCGCTACGCAGTGACATGGACGGTGATCCATTAGATACCATATTTGGACTTTCAGCTCGATAGTTCTTTTGGCCAAGACGCCGAAGCATTGCAGAATCTTTGAATTCATTAAAGTTAGTGAAGGCTTAGTTACTATTCAGCTTCAATCGAGTGTACGGTTACAAACCATAACAGAAAGATCTGTTATGCATAAGAAAGAAGAAAAGTATAGATGGCTCTGATCTAGAGTTTTGAAGACGCTCTACATAAAAATACTACCTTTTTATCCGGTGCAACTGTTAGCTCCCACACAGTATAGAGATTCAAACCTTAGATAAAATGTTTGTGATTTTTACGTCGTAAAAATGTCGCTTTCGAGTTTGCATGCTTAATCCAACATTTCTTGCGAACTAGAGTATGCGCATAAATCAACAAATATATAGATGGTCGGTGTTGGTCAAAAAGGGGGAGAGGGTAAGGGGGAGGGTGGAGGGCATTTCTTTTTCTTCCTCCCGAAAATAAGTATTGAATTGTTTCAATATAATTCAATGATATTAGGGCAAGTGATTTTTTCTCTTATTGACTGAGATTGAAACTTTTCGAAATATAAACTAGTGTTCTAGAGATGACATGACGCCCTCATGGCGTTGCAAGGTCATAACCCCGTAGAAATTTAAAGGAGGCGAAACAGGATAACTTTGGAATTAATTAATTAAAACACATTTTGAAAATTTTCTAGATGAGCGTGATTTGATATCAAAATTCTAAATATATTTAAATATACGTGAAATAAGCTGCAGACGTTTTAACACTTCGAAACATGTAACGTTACACAACATAGACTATTTGTGTAACACTTCAAGCTGAAAAGTTTATAAGGCATAACAAATGCATTTTCTAGTCATATTTCCTGCTAAAATGACCTCTGAAGAATCCATTTTACATAAATATACAAAGATTCTGGAAAACGACGTAGTGAACGCAAGGGAGTGACTAGCTCGGGCCGGTAGCGCATAGACATTAAGCTGAAAAATGCTGCTATAATGACGGATAGGATCTTATAGGGTAGTTTTTTGCTAATAAAGTACCCAACTCTTCCTCCTCGTACATAAGACAGGATATTCTCATAGGGGAAGAAGGTATTTTTCAGATAATCCTTCACATAATCGAGTCATTCGAACATATCGAGACTCAAAAAATTGGAAAAAATGAAATCAAGTAATAGAATGATTGGTAATAAATAGTAATTTTTTAATCTATAGATTACATTATACAGGGTGTCCCAAAAGTCTTGTAGCCTAATTTTGTACTGCTTTAACTCAACAATCACTGGTGATTTTGATCTCAAATTTATACCACAGAATAATCCAATCATTCTTCGTAAAATGCATCCTTGGGGGTGAAAAATAATCTTCATGTTTGACTGAAAAAATAAAATTATCAAACCATTTCTACCTTAAAACGCAAAAAGCTATTTCCTAAAAGTTTGAAATTTATTCCGCTACTGCAAAAATTTGGCACACCGCGGTACAAATTTATATCCACAGTATAGAGGAGGCTTTGCACAACTATCACTATAATGGCTGCATTTAAAAATCTATTTCGGCAAGAGAGGCGAGAAGAAACCTGGAAATTTTTAATGCGTGCCACTGCAACTATGTCTTTGGAATTAGTTTCAGATCTGTAGAATTGCAGCAGTCACTGAATTTGGAGTAATATCCTCTTCGCATGTTTTGATAGGAATCTAATGCAACACGGATGAAGAACTTGGTTTTGAAACACACTGTAGCCGATTTTCTGTTTTCATTTTCCGCAAATGTGTCCAAAACTCCACAATGAGATCTACCCGTGCCTGCATTCAAATTTCCGTAATTTCAACCATAAAACTCACAAATTTTTCTAATCATGGTATGATGTAGCTGAAAGCTTGCTCTATTATAGAGCACATTTTCTAAGCGATAGGATTTATTTTCATGAAAATTTGGAACAAAATTGATGATGACTGCCTGCGTGCCTCGGCAGTGGTAATCGCCAACCGTTTGAAGGCTTCCGTTATCAAGGAAAGATGCTACCACGAAATTCGAATGCTGTGATGTATTTGCTACTTTTTGAATAATGTGTACACCAAGTTTTAAATCCCTATGTTGTTCCGTTCTGTTTTTATCAGAAAAAATACTAGGCTACAAGACTTTTGGGACACCCTGTATATAAGGCAATTTAGAAACAATGCAACAATAAGTGTACTGCGCACCAAACATGGTATCCCACGACTAGTTTCTTTAGAAGTGCATCCCAACTTCTGGGGGAAGGAGCGGAGGGGAAAAAAAGGGGTGTTTGGTCATATTTGGATACAAACAAGTATGAATAAACCTTTTTAAAAGTTTTTGGTTCATTAAGACTGTTCGACAAGCGCTTACAATCAAGAGGCGTAAAATGCAGCGCACGGTCTGCATGCTCAGATAATGCAACACGACTGACTCGAGTATAAATGGCACTATGATGGATATGGAATGATAAAATGTTGCAAAAATGATAAATTTGCACGAACGAAGCAAGGCAACACTTTAACGGGAATGACAGAACATTCTGGACGATTCTCGATGCGAATAGCCATAGAACTGGATAATCACAAGCCAGCAGCAGCAGCCGTTCGCGTTCTTCTTCTTCTCTCGGCTACGCTATCGTCAGCAGCAGCATTCCTGGCGTCTGATTGTTTCACTTGTGCCTGACGTGGACGAGATATGGTCGCGCACATGCGGAAATAGGCGGATGTGCGACGATCAAATCCGCGCCGGCGACAATCCGCTCATGCGATCGGAACCGCGCCGCCGTCATTTTCCGAAATGTTGCATTAGTGAAGGTGAATGCGGCTATTTGAGAGAGATATTCCTTGGGGATTACGGAAAGGAAAAGGCTAAAATAAGTCGAGTTAGCGGAACTCGATAGGAGAAAGCAAAAATGCAAGCAATTCTGCTCTTTTTAAGCTCTATTATCACACTGCTTAACTAAGAAGAAATTTGACAGCATGTCTATAAGAAGAAGATGGGAAACCAGTGGATTTAGTGAGAAGTCGGACATTGGATGCAGTCCTGCTAATCGAGTTTAATCATCAGCAAATTCTTCCAGAAGCTTTGCCCATGGACTCTTTGAAAATACTATCTCTTTCCAGATAGCTAAATCTTAATGAAAGCTGCGTGCTGCACATAGGAATGGTTGTGCAGGTGCTTGGTAAAGAATCTTGTGTTGAGGTCTGGAAGTTGATGCCATGCAAGCTAGAGTTTTCCGATCTCTGGCAGTCAGAAAGGCTTACACCTCCTTATTTGTGCTCTTTCGCACCGTAAGAAATAATTCGCCTGCTCTAGTGGCACCACGGGATCAACATTCAAGTGCTAGTACACTTGCGTTAAGCTTCTTTTTGATGAGAAAAGATTGGTTTTGTGTTATTTCGATGCCTCAGCACCTTTTTCTTGCAGATTTTTATCTAAAGGCATCTCCCCATGTTCGGTAGTATGCCAATTTTGCGCGGGAAAAAGCCCATAACTCGCTTCGGCATGATGCGCAGCAGCTAGGAATAGCATATTTGGAATCAGCGTTTGAAGTTGATTGAGAACATATATGTCAATTACCAAAAGGTCGAGCTAAGTTAGGTAGCTTTCCTTATAAGTCGTCAATTTTCAGTTGCCACTGCTTTCTCTTCTTGGCTTTCTGGCAGAGAGTCACAAGCATCTCGTTTTTTCGTCTGCTCGGCCACTTTTCGCAACAGATTCTCGTGTTCCGCAGTTGGTAGCTAGGTATTGTAGGGATAGACTGCTGTCTGCGGCTCTATTTCTTGTTATTGTTGTTTATAACCATAAACAGGCCTTCACTGACGATTAAACCGTACCCATCAGAAACTTTGGCTACATTTTCGAAATTAGCTATAAAAGTTTCACAAAAGAGTTTTCACTTCAATGATCTGAATACTCACAGAGTTCGTTAAGATGCTGTTTTTATGCTGTTCCACTTAATTGCTAAATGATATCTAATATAAGAAAGTGATTGATTATAAAATGGAAGTAAATCAATGTCTCTAGTGAATCGGCTCATAATCGGCTAAAAAATGATGCATTTTCGAAAAAAGCTTTTCATCTTGCATTTTTTATATCTCTTCAGCCGAACTTGCAACAAACCAGTCGGACTCTCGTTTTTTTTTCTGAAGTTATTTTTTGCAATGTGACACTTGGTTCCTTTGTAAATCATGTAAACTACAACTGTAGGAGAACTATAAGGAAATTCGATTGTCCTCAACCACGTCAGAAAAATTTTTGGTAAAAAATAACTGTAACACTAACTTCCAACAAAGTTTTTTTGAGTTGTGGTTGCCAAGTGGGGATAAACGCCATGAACTTCATATACGACCCGATATAAAATGGACAATCACATTCGTGCAGGTAAATACACCATGACCGCGCTCGAGAAGCAAGAAAAACGACGCAACTGGGTGGCAAACTCCGCCTCCATTGGTCTAGACTCCTCCCACGTGTTCGAACTTATACTGCATCCCCTTCGTACATGTCAGACCCAAGAAACATCAATTTTGTCGTGAAAATGTCCGACAACTTTCTTACGAAATAAATATTAGGTGGATCTTTCTCCAGAAATGACTGCTTTCAATAACTTTTCTTTGATGACGCAAGGCGATAACAGCACAGACAAAAATTTGATTGACGCACGACGATAACAGCTTGATAGATTGGCATGTTAGCCTACCCGAAAATGAATTTGTAAGCAAAATCAAACGCCAGACAATATTTCTTTTCCGAGATTAAAAAAATCCGAAACTTTTATCGCTTACGCGAAAAATCAACATCTTATCTTCAATTTTTGCAATATTTCGTACCAGTACTCTCCAACACTGCTAATTATTTATGAACGATAAACTTTATATTGACTCACTCTATATCAGAATTCACCTGCATAAATATTAACAATGCACATATACTGTACAACATATAAGTCAAGAATTCCATATTGGTAAAGACCTCGTAGGATGGGAAAATGGCAAACAATTTATATATAACAAAATGAGAACTTTTGAGATATGGACTAGGGGTGACATACCGAAAGCGAATTAGACATATTTGCATTGAATGCCTATACAGGACTTGGAGAGTAAACGATTGAACAAACATCAAATGGCGACGTGTAGAAAAAAATTGAGACACTTGTCGGCAAGTTTAGCGTTTGCTGAAATAAATAATTGGAGTATTGCCTCGGACAAAAACTTGTTTTACGAATTCTTGTTTATAAAAGCATCGATGGTATTTTTGGGAGCCCTTTCGCAAGGTTACACTTTCGGTACCGCACTTATAAGGTATTCCCAAAAACTTGCACCAAATTTCTGAACGATTTGTGTGTTTTCGGGATAAACGATTTCGTCTATTCGTTATACCTTTGATTCATCTGGACTGGCGGTTGGAAGGCGGGGCTTCGTGACGTAGTTAAGGCTAGAGAATGATCAGAGAACACGAGCGCGAGAGAGACGTAGACTGTGTCGCGGGAGCGAACGGCCATAATTAGGTCACAAAGCCCCGCCTTTCGACCGCCACCCCAGTTGCAAAGGTTAGGGACGGGAGGAAAGCGCTCTCCTAGTAAGCTTTGAGCAAAATCTATTGTCGGCATAACAAGGCGTCAGCTTGTGGAAAAACACTCAAATCGTAAATTTTCAGACTTTGGTCTAAAAAAATGCTGAGTGTTCTCTGAAATCTAGTTTTAGCGCTGATTTGAAATTCATAACCCATTCTTTTTAGAGGAGGAAAAAATCCGTGCTGTTCGATTGTATCCGGTTCCCTCCTTATCATTCTCGAATTCTTGTTTGAACTTCGTTTTTCAACATAAAGTTATACTAGGTCCAAAAGTCAGTCGCAACACAAAAAATCGTAACTTCTTCATAAGAGTGTTGCATAGGCAGTATTATTGGAGAAAGTAAACCATATGCTTTTCAACGACATCTTGTTCACTCTCTACAAAGTTTTGATTGTAGAGATAAAATTGGAGTTTTCAAGGTCCAGTGACTTCACGCGAGCCCTTCAAAATCTAGCAGTTGTGCCGATCTAATACTGTCTTGAGCATAAGTTTGTTATGATTCTCGAGAAAAATACCAAAAAACCACCTTCCCATTTTCTGCTGTAACTCAAAATTTTCAACTCTTCAAAGAGAAGCTCAATCAGCACAAACACAAAACTTGTCCAGCTAGAGAGAAGAGTTCAGAAAAAGTGTTTCAGCTATTAATGCATAAAATTGATTTTTAACGGGCCTCCTTGGAAACACCGGACACTGAGAGATCTCCTTCTTTCATTTTTACCTCTGCAGTAAGCGCTTAGTAGAATAATTTTTTTCTATTGATATTAATGCCATGTGATTTCATTTTTACCTCTGCAGTAAGCGCTTAGTAGAATAATTTTTTTCTATTGATATTAATGCCATGTGATGCTAATACTGAAAAGTTACAACTCTTTTGAAAAGGTTCGACATAACTTTTTCAACATCTATTATATTACAAAACGCATACGCTATGTATGAAAAATATACTATATGCATTGCTTCCGCATAGTTTTCGAAAACCTGGTGCCAGACTTCTGGGACAACCCAATAATGACGTCCACTTCAAAAAAAGCACAAATACACGTCAGCCTGATCTTTCCAGCAAATACTATTTGCACATAACACAGCTTCTTTATCAATGACGCATTTCACTACATCATTCTACAGTGGCATAGCATAGCGCGGCAAAAAAACCGTCGTCTCCTTTTTCACTTAGCAAATAAGCTGATTTTCCTCTATGTAATTAAAGAACTGACCCATTCATATCAATCATGACCACATTATGCGAAGAAATCCCAGTTAGAGGCTGTGTGACCATGGGGGTTACCGATGTGGTGAGCTGCTGCTGCTGCTGCTGTTGCTGTGGGTTCGATGGCAATTTGGGGGGTTGTTGCTGTTGGGGCATCGCCAACGGGCCCGCACCCAAACCGCCGTCGTTTAACTCCTGGATCTTGCGCAACCTGCAATAATGGATAATGGTAATTATAATAAGATTCATACAGTTGCGCGACATAAGCTTATTCAAAAATTTCAGTCACTGCGTCCCATTAGTGCATACGATATTACAAACAATAAATTCTCCGACATTTCTATATCGTATAAATTCGCTGTAAGCGATTTTTCCAAAAAGTTGGCTTATTGAAAAGTTGAGGAGCAAGAACTCCAACAGGCACCCCTTCCACGGACTATTGCCTCACGCAATGTACATATTGTATGTATAAATAAAATAAATAAATAGTAGAGCGGAAGGACCAGCATTCACCGGGGGCGGAGCCCGATTAAGGTATTCGTTCCTCTACCCCATATTGGATAGTTCTGTGATTCCTGAGAATCTCGTGGTTTCCCGATTTTTACCACAGAGCGCGAAAACTTCCATCTTCATAATGATGGCAACGCTGAACAACAGAGTCGTGAAGTCCTGCATTGTAATTGAGGTTTTTGGGCTCTATGGCGAACAAAGAAACCAAAACACGGAACCAGGATAATGGTCGAGAATGGGCAGCGATCAATTGATCCTGGCACGACATGCTACAGCTTACGTCGGGAACAAAATGATAATCTTGCATAATAATTCGATTTCAATAACAATGACCAGTTCAACCACAATCAACAACATCATCATCACTTTGACTACAATATCCAACCACCAACACGACGTATTTTCAGCTTACCGTGAAACTGGAATCCATCAGATTTGCGCTAAGAAGAAATATTTCAGAATAATTAGTGTTGACAAGAAAGGAAAACAAATTCAAAATCAACTTGTAGAATTACCAGATTTGTATCTATTATTTCTAGTGATATCATAAATGGTGTGATAAAAATACTCAAAAAAAGGCTAAAGTTGACCAACGTACTTTTTAGAAGCAGTAAGAGCATTGCATAGAAATAGAAAATGAGCTTCTGACTGGGGAGTATCTATTGAGAGAAACACGATCCGCAAACATTTCAACAACAATAAGAGGAGAAAGAACTTGTAAAAAAAAAACGAATAATCAACCAATAACTTACTTCATTCGGCTTTCCTTCATAAACTTCTGAATCTTACGTGCAGCCGCCTGCCGTTTTCTATGACCACGATAGGCTAATTGAATGGTGGTGGCAGCACGATGTTCTCTCAGCAATGTGGAATTATTTTGAGGCACCTGTAAAATTGTGTACGGGGTTTGATCGTGAAAATGAAAAATTCTATCTCGTGAATCGTTGTGATCTAACTTAAAAATTGTACCTGAATCCTAATGCTTTGTCCATTCAAAGTTGGATGCTCTGGAACTTCAGTAGTTTGGCAAGCAGACTGCTCAGACTGGTTCATCTGAATTACAAAGCTCTGTGAAAATCAAATAAATGGACAATGGACCAAGTGGGTTTGTCTCAAATAGATTCGGCAAATTTCTGGTCACACCTTTATGAATTACGTGTGACTGCGCGGTTTCATACACGAAATAGCCTACTTTTCTTACTTTCAATCGGGGCAAAAAATCTCATCAAAATACAAAATGAACAAACATTTATAACAATGATGAAAGATCCAATTGTACATAACGCTCACCTTTTTCAAACGGAAATGTTTCTGAACAACAATGGCAGCATTGTGAAGCTTTTTGAAGTAACAAAACTGTAATGAAAACAATGAATATGACACTCCAAAATGGCATCACTTTCTCCTTGGTGGTAAGTGTTGACGTAAATTACCTGTTTATATCTCCTATAGCAGCTTTGTATGGTTACGGCAGCTCTGCGTTCAGCATCTGCTTGCCGCCGATTTGTGTTCCGAGCTCGATATTCTCGATAGGCTCGTTGAATAACCATTGCTGCTCCATAAACTTCTCGCTGTTCTCCATCTATATAATAAAATCTTAAGTACTCTCATAAGACACCATAGCCCATTTTGATGATGGACAAAAAAGTCTTTTGGGAGAAATATGAACTGTCATAGTCAAATTACGCCTGTTCAAAAATTTTTTCGGGACATGATGAAAAAACCAACGTTTCAAGACTTAGCTACCTTTTTTATGGTACTTTGAGCGAAAGCTGTGAAACGAACGCGGCATTTCTTTAAAATTAACGCTTCTTCAAACCAAAAATAAACCTCAGGGTCGGGTGCGATCTTTTGAACTCATAAACTTCTTCTCAAGCCCAATCCAACACCGGAATGCAATGAAAAACGAGCTAGAGGAAGCGAAGCGGCAGGTGTTGCTTTCCTTTGGTCTGACATTCTTTTGCGGCATTTGCAATGTGAAAAGAGTTATTGGTTAACACGCAGGCAAAACCCCTCAGCGCTTGTCGTTGCTTGAAAAAAGAAATACATCTTATAATAAATTATAATAGCGGGAATTTCGTCGCGACAAAAGATATTAACAAAAGAAAGCATGAAGACATAAAGACGGCATGGCTCGGACGATAAGAGTACAGAAACGATTTTCGAGAGGGGGGAAGGGGTAAAATCTGGAGTGGAGTCAGGGGAAGGCAGTCTATGGATAAGATGTAAAAAAATTCAGTATGATTATAACGTCTGTTCAGCCTTCTCTCAAACTTTCCCAATACTTTCATTTTGAAGCCCTCCCCGGAACTCCCCAGAAAGGAGCGAGCGTTTAACATGACTCGAAGAACTTTAGAAAACTGAAGAGCTTGTGTAAAAGGATCTAACAAAATCTAACAAAAGTTGGGAATGAACACTTCTGCCACTGGTTCCTAGTTTGAAGAAGAATGCAGATGGTGTACTCATTGTGCTCTCGAAAACTTTTCGGTGCTTGAGTACAAGGTGGCAGACTAGGGGGGGGGGGCAGATACATGCCTCAAAGGAGACCGAATCCTAGACAAAATATGATAGTTTTAAAACTAGATAAATTTTCTTCCACTTAGATAGCGTCATACCATGAGCGCTGCTATACCAAATCAGACAAACGACTTTAGGCTAGGTTTGAAAAAGATTCATAAGGCATTTTGGAGTTCCATACCATAGATGGTCGACCACATTAGCTTTGAACAAGATATCAATAGAAATTTGGGAAAATAATTCAATCCTTACATTGTTCATCGATTCCCGTGTAGAGTAAGTCGTCTTTAGAATCCAATAAATTACGACGACCCGTTTCAATACTGGAAACAACCATCACGGCTCTTGAAGAAAGCACAGTAGCGTAGACAATATCAACACCAGACTGAGGACAGGGCAATCAGATACGAAGGACTACGTGTGTGCCAGCCAGCAGCGGCTGATCACAAAAGTGGGCGGGCTGCGGTTCACACGATCAGCGATCGAAGCGCGACCGAGCACGACGCGCGCGACTTGCGCGACGCGACGCGATCACCGTGGACTTCGAGAACGGACCGGGGAGAAGGACGGAGGGGGGGGGGAGTGCTGCTCTTGACCCAAGGCGTTGATGACGTCGTTAGACCCGTCGAACTGCCGCTGTCAACCGCGGGGCTCCACATTCCACGAGCACAGCAAGCGCACAGCTGCTCAATCGCTTCGCTCAGCAAAATGCATTTTTTACCGCAGTCCAGTAATCGCTTCCATTACAAGAAAGCGAAGTGTTAAAGCGGGACAAAAGACTCGGGAAAAGATTTTTTGCAACGATTCTTCCCGAAGTGCTACGCGATGATGAGCAGTATAAAAGAATGACCATCCAAAAAACGTCTGGGTTGTTTTTCGACCAATCACGCACTAGAAATTTGGTACAAGCCGTTCGTAGTATCTCAATCATAAAGAATACAAGTCAAAAGATAAACTACATTTGCAGCTGAACACATCATCAAAATGCTGAGATGCTTGACAATGGAAAAAGTAAAAAATCAAAGTTTTGAACTTTGGTTCTCTTACGTCAAAGACAATGGTGATGGATGGCTGACAATTGTGCAAAGAATGAATATGTATTTTCTCATATTCCCGTCTTCTATAGAGGCTAACGATGCCTGTACTGCTTTTGCTAATGTCAATTCAATCATTTAAGAGCTTTTGGGAAACTTAGAACAAAACATAACAATATCTCAAACTTGAAAAAAATGCAAATTTTCCAGTTCAAGACCAAGCCTTTCTGATACGCTTAAAGAAATTCCATGATGAAAAAAAGCTCGAGCTCCCAAGCTTCCTCCCAAAGAGCTGACTACACAAAACAGTTCTCAAATCATGAATCATTCCGATGCGAGATTCTCGTGAATGCTGATTTTTCCATTACATATTGTCTATGTAAATATAATCGCAAAGAAGCGCGTTGTGTAAGCATATTGCTTTCGCTAAATTTACATCGCAACTAAAGCACAGAAGAGGGGCGAAAAATCACAGGTGGAAGGGCAAAAAAATTGGGACCTCAAAAATGAATTCCGCTTCGTTACAATAATGAACTGCACTTAGATGTACACGTGTAGAAGGAAAGGAAAGAATGAGTATCGCTATTTAACGCATAATTATTTGTCACTGTCAAAAATGCAAATTCTTTCAATTTGGTTTTCTACCACCTAAACAGATCTTTTCCAATAGATCTATCTAATAATCTAATTTTCTAATAATTCAAAATCTCGTAATTTTGACCTGATGATTTGATCTGCTAGCTGAACAAATCAAAGCTCACAATGCCTGTATGTTTATAATAAGCGCCAAATAATCCATCGCGTTTTGCGAACAAATTATGCGTCAAGTTCCCCGGACAAACAGACGCAATAGAAAATTCTAGCTGCAAACTGCTGCTCGGTTTCCGACATATATTTTCGTCAAAATTCACAGCAAATTCAGTTTCGAACAATGATCGCAGGTTGCTAAGCTGTGAAAATCACGAACTGCAACAGTTGTCATCACATGACCGGACGTTATAAATTAGGTCTGACGTAAAATAAAACATAGCATTTTACGTAAAGCCTTGTATTCTTTTTTGAACTTCTTTCAAGAAGAAATGCTATTAGTTCGGTTTCAGAGATTGTTATAGGAAAGTAACTCGCTTGTGTTTACTTATCTATCTAACACAGCTTCACAAAAAAAACAATTTGTCCTTTGCGACCGGTTTACCACAATGTGTTCTCATTTCGACAAAGACTAATCTACGATGAATTGCTATTCTTATTATAGATAAAAACCAGTAATTTGGCAAATAGATCAAAAAAGTGCGGAAGAAAACTAGCACTGCACCAAAAGGATAGCATACTTTTTGCATACTTTACTTCACCTATTACAGTCTAAATCATCTACTAGATCAATCTTCATCCAGTTATTTTGTCACTGAGGCTGAGAGATTGCCACATGATGCAAACACTGATGAACTTTTTATCAACAAGCGTGTTTGTCTCAGTCAAAGGACAGGCAAAGTATACTTGATATCAGCGATATCAATATTTTGATCACTCGAGGACACAAGGAAGCATAGTAAAGGACTATTGCTTCTTTTCCCCCGGAAAGGGAGGGGGGGGGGGGAGGGAGGTTGCGTATAAATTGCTTAACACTGTATCTGCTATGAATTTTACTCTCAATATAGAAACTGATAGCGAAAATATTGCTCGAAGATTGTAACCACTGAAGCTTAGACTGTTGTGTTTTTGAGAATGATGATCATAATCAATTTCACCAAATAGTGCGGATTTTAGATATTAAGTGATTAGTTTATCCAAATTTTCTTGCTTCTCGTGAACATTTTTTGTGAATACTATTGCAAAAGATGATTTTCATCACCCTGCCCAAAAACGCACCCTCCTTCACCAAGTTAGTCTTTTTTTTTTCATTCTATGAATCTTATGATACCTCCATATTTCCAACCATACAGAGTATCTCTTTCATCTACTTCTCTCAAATGAAGAATACAATTTTGCAACTTGACCTCATTGCTATCTCTCCTATCATTTTCTTCTTCTCCAAAAAATGTTCAAAACTATAAACATGACCACATCTGCTCTTCGTTCGGAATAAACAGCGAATTCCGTTTCCGCGCTAAATCAGAGACATTAGCCATTCACAACAATGCGTAAACATTACGCAAGCGCCAATCTCGATGGCGCTGACAGCAGCGTCGTCTGCCAGCCAAAGGTGATCGAATGCGATCAGGTGTGCCCATTGTGTCGAATTCTAATGGGCACGAACAGAGAGAGCATTCGCAATGGAACAGCTAGCTCAATCGTAAGGCGGGGAGAGGGGGGGGGGGAAGGGGTGGCGAGGGAGGCTTGAAGACAGCGTCCACTCTGAGGGTGGTGATAATTTGATACTGTATAACAGCCGGGACCCTAATTAAGTACTCGCCCAAATCCTGCTGCAAGAGATTGTTTCCGAAGCGAGAAAATCGCTTCAGAAGATAGGAGCGGCTAAGGTAACTCCGCCCATTAATGTGGATGGTCCGAAGATATTAAGTTCTAGAGTGAGCTTCGTAGATAGATATATCGAAAACCTGATAATCATAGAGAGCGATTTATGATGTTTCTAATAATTGAAACCCGAAGGACTTATTATCTTCAGACCACTAGCATTGATGGAGCCACCTTGGGTGCTTGTACCTTCTAGAGGAACTTTCTCGCTTCGGAATTCATTTTTTGCGGCGGGATTTGGGCGATTGCTAAGTTAAAGGCTCCGCTAATATACAGCATCAAAGTCTCGTCATCTTTGATCTAACGGCGCCTTTGATGAAGGTTTCGGTCTTTGCCTGTATCAAGAATCCAATCGGTCTATCAAACAAATTGCAAAGCTAGCGGATCGTCACGCAGCCTATTCACCGGAAGAAGCAATGACGTAAACGGTTACCAAACAGCA